GGACTCTCCCTTTATTATTTTTCTTCTATTTTAACAATAGAATTTTTCCTATAAATTTTTCTATTGTATTTTTTGGTTTGTTTGTCATTTATATTTTCTGTTTTTCTGTTTGTTGTCTTGTTCTGATCCTTTTGTATTTTTTAAAACAAGTCAACATGGTAGCCTTAAGGTATTTTCTTATTTTTTGTATGACTCAGTTTTCCGGTGTCGGTTTTTTATGATACAACCAAAAATTTTCTATTCCGTAGATTTTTATAATATAATATTTTTTTATAAGCTTTCACTTTTTATAGTATGTGGTGTGATAGTTTCCTATTTTATATTTAAATTGCGGTTATTTACATTGAAAAATAATTCAAATGGCATTGAAATTCACTTATCTAATGATTTAAAAGATAATGTAAGTAAATATATATAGATTATGTAATTTTATATACATACACACTTTCATATACATAAGAGTTTTAAGTGTATAAGAATAAAATCACATAGTATAAGAGATAAATAAGAAGACAATAGAAGTTTCTATGTGTATTTATATAGAATAGACAGACGCACAGACACACATAAAAACGGAGTTATGTTCGGCGTTCGCTTTTCTTACATGTTATTTTGGTTTTTGATTCAACAACAATAATAATTCAATATTAAAATTTATAAATAGTAAGGATTTTCTATTACAAGGAAAATTTCATGTGAGTCAGCATATTTTCGCGAATATTTCGAGCGAAATTGGAAAAAAAAAATTTGTAGTAAATTTGCAGTAAAATTTTTTTTTTATTAACTTTTAGTTTTGTTTAAGTAAATTAAAAACAATAAATTTTTGTTTATTTCCATAATAAAATTTTTAAATTACATTTAAAATGTTATACTGTATAATAGTATAGTGTAAACTTGGAAAAATAGTTAATTATTATAATAGTGAAAAATTGCTGACCAAAACAAATAAATTAAAAAACAATGAGTAAGAGAGGGACAATTAAAACAACAAATGAATAGTTTTTTTTTTAATGCCTACATGCCCCACATTAAATAAATTAGAAAAGTATATTAGTTTACAGATCATAAATTATAATTTTTGTATATATGTATGTGTTTGCCCCAAAATTTAATAAAATTATATTAGAAGTAGTAGTTTAATAGCCCTTGTGCTTCTAAAATTAGGTAAAAACAAATTTTGTATTAATAAATTTAATATTCATGTTTACTCGGAAACCTCTAATAATTTTGAGGATATAACAGTGAGGATATTAACAGTTCTTGTGTGACGATCATAATATTTTATAATTAAAATGTCGCTCCTTTTTCAAAATTATAAATAAACTTAATTATGGCATATTTCGTATACTTACATAATTTATTGAATTTATAATGTTGTTAGTAGGTGCTCTCTTTTCATTATTATTTAATAGCTTGCCTCGCAATTGAATTAGAATTTCTAACTTGTACTTGACAATACTGTATACATACTTTATTTAGCTTTTCAATTTTGACTTCTCTTTGACTTTTATTCAAAATTGAAAATAGGATCTTCCTTGATATGGATATATTTGTAGGACACTTTCAAAATGGTTTTCAATTTAATCTTCAAATTAAAAATTTACATTTGCCATTCAATAGTTTACGCATGTAGCAGCAACTAATATTCAATTTTTGGAAATTTTGGGAATGGTAGGTGTCGCATATCCCAGATCATCAACCAGATATAACTCATTATCAACGGCTTCCAATGTCTTTGTATCCTGTTCATCAAATATATCTGCATTTTCATCATCTCTAAATTTTTTTATACTTTCTCATTTAGGACTCATTGTTAAAACATGCATTAATTGTTACTATTTTAAGTTTTTTCTAATTTTATATTTATGTATTTGGCACATCAGTTCTTTCTTTCGGAAAAAAAAACATTAATTGCTATATGACGGTCATCTTCATACAGCTATGGGTTACAATTTTAATTGCTATGTAGAATTTATTTGAATTTTAATGGCTAATAATTTATTGTCACATACTTCTTGTGTACTTCCTCATTCTGAACTCCAGTTTTTTACTATTTCATTGTAATAATTTATATTAACCGTAATGTAATGTAGACAGCAAAATCTGTAATATTGCATAAAGAATGTAAAATTACTCGGAGAAAATAAGGTTTTTGAGAGTTTTGCTTAATAAATCGTTGTGAGTACTATGAATAATGTTGTAGGAAAAATTGCGTAAAATTACAGAAATTTTTTACTGTGTAGAATGACAATTATTTTAGCTGGCGTAAACAAACAATATAAAGAGAATAAGAACATATAAGAGAAAACATCAATAAATTTTTAAAAATTTTCACAAAAAAAAATTTACTCGAAATATTTAAAGACAAAAGAGGCCAGGTTGGTCGTCATACATTTCTCATTTTAGTTAAATAAAACTCAAATTTTCTCGTACTAAATTTACGAAATATTTTTGTACAATGACCATGCGGAAATTTTAAATTTTTTATTTAAAAATCATAAATTTTAATTCACGCACTCTTTTTAATTTTTCCCTCTATATATAAGAACATTGAAAATTTAAGAAAAAAAAAACTAAAAAATCATTTTTTCCATTAAATCAAGCTGTTCCTTAAATTTTGAAAATTTATTGAGGTTATATTTTTTTTTTGCATACATATTTATTCATACAATATTAAAAAGATTATTACCATTAAAAAGGACATCATATACAGTTAAGTGTTTCCATTTTTTTTTTCTCTCTGTATATAAACAAATACAAAAAACTTATCTCCCGGTTAATGGTTATATCAATTTATAAATTTATGTATATGTATGTATATATGTATATATGTTAGAATGTAAACCATTTTCATCTCATTGTAGTTCTCTATGTAGATTATATAGAATAACCAGGTTTGCTTGAATTGTCCTCTTTCCTTAAAAAAAAACATTCTATAGTATATTTTTCTTGGGGGGATGATTTTTTTTTCAGTTGATTGTTGCATTGTCCTTAAATATATATTATGTACGTGTCACATATATAACTATACATATACAAATATTTTTATAATAATGTGATAAAATATATTTGAATATTAATGAGGACATAACATAATTCTTTTTTTTTTGTCCGTTTACCCCAAAATTTTCGCTTTTATTTTTATATGCTCAACTTTAAAAAATTTTGTACTCTTTGTAAATGTATAGAAAATTTAAAATGAAATTGAAATGAACATTAAATGTTTTGCTTTCTAGTTCTGATCATTTTACAGGATTTGGATTAATTCATGCACATTAATCTCGATGAAATTCCCATGCCTCCCAATAATTTAAAATGAAAAAATTTATGAAAAATTTTTATTAAAATTTTTATTTAAATTCAATGAACAATTTCATATGCATAATAAATTAAAATTTTGTATTTAAAATGAATGATTTTATATGAAAACACTTCTATATAAGCATGGGTGTTGAGTATGAGGTCTCAACAAATTATAATCTTAAAGCTTCTTTATTAAAAAAAATATGCAATTTTAATTAAACATATTGCGATTGGACATCGGACAGCACATTGTATATGATGGTGTTAATTAGTTTCTATTAATGTTTTTAGTAAAAAATTAAGTATAATAATTAAATACAAAATTTTTGAATGGGATAACCAAAGAAGCAGTTTTTTGTTAAAAATACTAGTATTTTTTTACTATTATTTATAATTTTAAGTAAATGAAAAAGACGTCCCGAAAACATAAGAACTTAGTTTTTCTTAAGTACCTACATAACTTTAATGCGGTGCACCACTAAAATAACTATAAAATATAAAAATTAGTCAGACTCTCCTTTATGTGATACATTTTTACTCTTTTTGGTAATTTTTTTAAATTGGTCAAAATTTTTTATTATCGTGGTTGTTCAACAGAAGAACTATTTTCCTGTTTTTCCTATACAGAATGATTTTTTTTTTGGGAAAAAATTCAATTACAGGAAAAAAACATTGCTACCGCCTTTCTAACAAACTCCAAACTTACGAACTATTTAAGTGACAATATATGTATTACATATTGTAAAAAAACGCAAATTTTGACCATTTATCGCCTTCCTTATTAGTTTAAGTGTTTTTTCGGTAAAATTTTAACGATAAGTATTACCAGCGTCCGTTAATCATAGTATTGTAAAAAAGTAATAATTTTTATTCCGAAACGCAAAGCAAAAATTTTGTTTTGCCGAATTTGACAAATTGGACAATGCCGAGTTATTGTATCTAGTTTAAGATTTAAGTACGGTATAAAGGCGGCCTCCAAACTTTATTTTTGACAATACGGAATATTGCTAATATAACAATCTATTTATATGTGAAAATCGAAGTGTTATCTTCGTAATTCCGAAGAAAAAACTTCAATTTTGATATTAATATTAATAATAATTGAAGTATATATAATTGTTTTAGTTAGTAGCTGTTATATAAATTATATAGAATAAAAATTAATATTATACATACCTGCTCTATATGTCAAAAAAATTTGCGAATAGAAAAACGCAATATTGTGTTGATGACTTCGCATTTATAATTATAAATGAATAGTATAAACATGGCGGACATTGTGATGATAGCACAACTAGCTATGTATTTGCTATCATGACAGCAAAAAAAATTTAAAATTTTATTATCATTAGTGTGCGGTTGCTGACAACAATAAAAATAGAAAATTTTTCTTGTAATTATTTTAATGCAATTTTGGTTTTTTTTATTTGTCCACTTTTCAGTCCACCATTTTTCTTTTGTTTTCTTTCAAAATAATTCTGAAATATTGCATGTTTTTTTTTTTTTTGCTTGAATTGTAATTTTTATATTTTATTTAGAGACGAAACAAAGGAAATCACTACTGTTTTTTTTTGGTATCTCAAAAATTACTAGGATTTTTTTTTAATATTCAACTTTTTTTGCAATTTTATTCTTTTTATTATAAACCATTATTATTAATGAACGAATTTCATTTTACTCTTTTTTTTTGTTTTCAGAGCCAATGCGGGTCACCGACACTAGAAAAAGATTTGAAGGAACAATTAGAAAGGTAAGAGAAAAAAAACAAGGAATAACTGTTCATTTATTTTACAAATTATTTTTTTTTTCTCTATTTTACTTGTACAATATAATTAAATGTCTGTAATGTATAAGAAATTCAGAGTCTCTTTTCTGCAATGGTCATAAGTTTCTGCCTCAAGGATAACATGCAATATCATTTTATGTATAGTAGGAACTCATGTTCATTATAGTTTTCAATTCAATTCGACTCTTAAGTTTATTAATTTTTGTCATCATCATCATTATCATTTTGGACTACAGCCCCAGGTTAGCCTTTGCCTTCTTCACAATGCCCCTCCATGTTAATCTATCTTGAGCCATCGTTCTCCAATTTAGAACTTCAATAGTTTGTGCGTTATTTTCAACATCATCTAACCATCTTGTCCTGGGTCTTTCTCTCGGCCGAGTAAGATAAGGATGATTTCTAAAAACTCTACCTTATGCTCTTTTTTCACCTATCCTAGTGACATGACCAGCCCATTTTAACCTTTGTGACATAATAAATCTAATTATATCTTCGCCCCCTATCAGATGCTTAAGTTCACTGTTGCTCCGTCTTTCCTATTCACCATTTGCAAGTTTTTTCGGATTAAAAATCTTTCGAAAATTCTCAAAAATTCGTAAAGCATCCATATCAGCTGTTGTCATCGATCATGTTTCACTACTGTATGTTACCACAGGTCGTATTAATGTTTTATAAATCGTCAATTTTGAGTTTCGTGGCAATAACTTTGATGTAATTAATTTCCTGTTTGTGTAGTCGCCCACCTAAATTCTACTCTGAATTGTTGAATGCATGCTGCTATCTTGACGAATTATATAGCCAAAATAATTAAAACTACTGTTAATAAACTATAAAATAATTGTAATATTTTGCAACTGCCTTCTACTAACTTGCCTGGTCATTTTCAAGTATTTGGTCTTGTTTTCATTTATTTTCAGGCCCAATTTGGATGTTTCGTTTTCAACTTTTGCGAAGCTTTCAGTCATCGCCCTGAATCTTCGTGCCATTATCAGTATATCGTCTGCATATTCCATTATTTGCGATGATTTTGTGAATATAATATGCTAATTTTTGTATTGATACAAAAAAATTTCAAACTGAAAATCAAAAACTCGTCTACAATATTTTTGATATTTTCGGAATAAATTAATTTGATCGGCACATCATAAAAGAAATCCTAATAAAAGCAAGAATGTTAAATCAGGTATTAATAATCAAGTATTAATGCCCTCAATATATACCAAACTTTAATGGGCCGACCCTAATATCACAAATTTTCCCTGAATTTAAATTTTACCTTTTAAAAACTTTAAAATTATTCAACATATGGTTGTCTCATCCTAAATCAATAATTAGATCAATTAATAATGTGCAGTAAATCTACTGCAATATTCTACTTCAATAAAAAAAAATTTCATTGCTTTCTAAAAAATTCTCAACAAAATACCGAAGCAAAATAAAGTTAATATTAAATTTTCAAGTATTTTGTAGGTAAATTTTATTATATAAATTATTGTTTACCTTATTTTTGTGTTGACGGGTGTCATATAAGTTGCTAAACAAAATAATAATTTATATACCTACATGCTACGGTATCACACATCTTTCGTCTAGTCTTTAATAAAATTTAATATTTTTGTGTTCTTGACGTTCTTTAATATTTTATAACATCAGTTATAGAGTAGTAAATGAAGACAGGTAACACCCTCTTGTGAAAAGTGGGATGCATTCAATAAAATCAAAAATACCTTCTTGATTTTGATTTTATTTAAAAGGAATCTATAAATTACTAAGCGCGCAGTACTAAAGAAACCCTCAACAGCTTATGATATTAAAATTTGAACTATATAATCAGCTTTAATCGTTTATGTGATAAAATGTTTTTAATAATTATTTTATCTTATATTTTTAGTATGAATCGCACAATAAAATCAAAAGAAAGGAGAGCAATTCAAGTATGTCGAGATCATAAAGCTTTACAGGTGATTACAGAATTGAAAAAAATTTTATATAAAATTTAAAATAATTTTAATAATATTATTCGTATTTAATAAAATAGGCTCGATTCGCTAGACAAGAAACTATTCTTAATACATTACAACAAGAGAATAAACAATTACAGCAACGTGTTAGACAATATGAGCATTGTTTAGATGATGTTATGGGCAAAATAGTTCATGCATTAGTTAATGAAGATAGTCTTAAGTTAGAGGTTTCTATGTTAAAAAATCGTGTTAAAGATTTAGAAGCTCAAAATGCTGCATTATCAGCAAGTCCTGCTAAAGGTAAAGATGAAGGTTATTGTACTATGAGTAGCGGACAACCTCAACCATCAAATAGTCATTTAGAAGATTTACCAGAAGAACCAGAACAATGGCTATTAGCAGCTGAACCATGTTCAGCTGAAATGGAAGATTGGAGTATGTCACAAGATGAATTGGGTGTTATAACATTAGATGATGATGGTAATGAACATGAACATGATTGGATATGGAATTCAAGTTATTTAAATTCAACAATGATTGATTCACAATCAGAAGAAATATCACAATTATTAAAAGAAACGGTAATAATTAATTAATATGTTGCCTAATTAAGAATATATTATATTAATTTTGTTAATTTTGTTTCATTCTTACATAGATCGTTTATTCTGATGATGAAGAATTAACATGTACTGATTTTACTAGAGATTTTTATAAACTTGTTAATATTCCATCCGGTAGTACACATAGTCTTTATTCTCATATGGATGCTGAAACTGATGATGAAGATGATGATGACGATGATGATGATAATGAAAATAATCATTATCAAATAGAAAATAATTCTAATGATGATGATGAAATTATTATTGAAATGGGAGGACAAAATAATAATAATTTAAATAAAGAAAATAATAGTAATAGTGATAAAAAATTAAATATTAGAACAACAAAAAATAAAAAATCAGGACCAAGTCCAACACCAAGTGAAGCTGGTCGTGCATTAGTTACAAGCTGTTCTTCAAGTGAATCTGAAGGAATACCAATAATATCAAATACAAATTGTTATTTAAAAGAATGTGAAAATTTAAATCCTTCCTATAGTATTGATGAAAATCTATTAACGCTTAATAATAAAACGAATACAAGTAAAAATAAATTATCAATAAAAAGTGAAGTACAATCATCTATGATACCGCAATCGGCAATTAAATTAAAAGAAATTGCAATACCTAGCACTAGTTATAGTACATCAAATTCAGTATGGCGAAAAAGTAATGGCTGGAAAAGAATAGCTACAACTTCACCTAAAAAGGTAAAAGAAATGCATTTTGAACCGAATCTTGTATATTTGATTTTATCTTGTATTTTAAATTTATCTTTCGGCATATTTTCTTATATTTCTTTAATTTAATTCGAATTTTTTCCATTTTTCTATTTTTAGGAAGAACAACCAATTAAAAAACAACCGTCACCAATGAAAAAATCAAAAATTCCACCACCAGTTCCAGTTCGACGTTCCTACGCCAGTTAAAATCCTAAAATTTTTAATTTAATTAATTAAAAATCGAAAATTTTTATTCAAAGCTCTTATTAAAAACTAGAAAAGAAAAGAAAAACAAATCGTTTCAAATAATTAAATGGAAAATTTAGTTAAAATCTCTAAATTGAAATATTTTCAATCTTGGAACATAACTTAAACTTATTTAATGGCTTTATAAATATCTAATAATAATTGAAAAATAAAACCCGTTTGTATAAAATAACCTTATACCTTATAATATTCCTTAACTATTCTTAATAACTATTTGGAAAATAAATAAAGAAATAACAAAATTAATTAAAATATATTGAGGTTATTTTAAAATTATTATTTCTGAAATCGATAACACAAGTCTCATATAATAAATTCATTTAATTTCATGGTACGTTTCAATCGGAATATTTTAAATGAAATATTCTTTTATATTCTAGCAGCAGTTGCCAGTAGGATTTTATTTCATTTTAGCGAAAATTGGTTTCAGCAGACAATTGGAACCTTAAATTTGTTGAAAACATATTGAAAATAATGAATTATTAGAAATATTTTTGTGAATATAAAATATTTACTGTATTCCATCAGCATTCAACTGGTTTTCTAAAAGTTTTTAATTTAAAATGTTCATTTTAACAATATGACCTGCAAGGGAGCTTAAATTTTCAAATATGTTTTCTAGTTTTCGATAATTCTTTTACAAGAATATATTAAATTAAAAAACCTACTGGCAAAATTTCATTATTCCCTTAATAATTTCTAATTTCTTATAATTTTCGGTTCGAAACTCTTACCGATTTCAGAATTAAATTCTCAATTTTTAATATCCGGATATTAATTGCAATCAAATTGATTAATTCTAAATTAAAAATACCAAGAAAGAAAAAAAATAATAATAATTAAAAAAAAAAAAAAGACTACATTGTGATAAAATAAAAAAAATTTAAAAAATTATAAATTTACAAAAAAAAAAAATACAAAAAACCCTTTTTTATATTATAAAATTAATTTTTAATATTTTACAAAAAAACTTCTTAATTATTTTTTTTTTTGTTTTGATTTGTTCTAAAATAGGCAATTTTGGCAATTTTTTAAATTTCATTTTTCATTTCGTGCTCACTGCCAAAAATACAATAAAATCAAAAGAGAAAAAAAAAATAGAATATAAAAACTAAATTAAAATTAAGAAATAATAAAAAATATTTGTAAGAATGAATTTTGTTCAAAAAAAAAACAAACAGAGAAAATCTAACACATAAGACGGACGACACAAAACATAATATTATTGTGTTTTAATACAGTTATATTGTAATTATTATTATTTTATTTAATTATATTAATTTTCAAAATAAATATTATTGTAAATTTGAAAAGAATTTTGAAAAAAAAATTGGAAAACAATATTATTAAAATTTAAGCGATAAATAGACTTACATATTTAAGAGTTATAATATTATATTGTATACTATAAGAATATTAAATTTTGTATACACATTAATGTATAAAATAATGTATAAAATAATATATATATTTATATATAAATTTTATTTTATATAAGAGTATTAAGATGATATATGCATAAAATATTCATACAAATTGATACATACAACAATTATATCTCTTCCCTATAACGTAACCTCTTGCTAAATAATTTCAATATAATACTCGTATGTAGATTTTGTTTCTCATATTATTTTCATTTAACGTAATTTTTACCGTATTCGGCAAATAAAAGCAATCAAAAACTTCCAAATCAAAATAAAGTCATTTGTAATATTTAATAATCCAATTTCTATTTTTACTACTTTTGAACTCCTCTCTAAATTCATAAATGCAATTAATAAATTGTAATTTCGGCAAACATTCAGCCCTATCATGAATTTCGTTCATAGCTCAGAAATTCGGCAAATTATGAATATCATATTGTTAATTACGAATTACAAAAATTCTGCTTCGGATATTCGTAATGGAGTAATCATAATTTACGTTCGTAGTAAAAATTACCCTCAGAATGTGTGAAAGAAATAATCACACTTAAGCAATTTAAAGAGAATGGTTGTATTAAAATTTCAAGTTTTAAATTTCTTTGTTTGAGTTACTCTAATACAGCTACCATGAATAGAAGTGAATTGATATTGCCAAAACAAAAGTTTTTTTTTTCTGAAAATTTTAAAAAATATCCTCTTTTATGAAATTTGTTTCCTCAAATAGCAACAATAAAGTATAATTTTACACTTGATAGCTGAAATAAAATAGTGATTTTGATAATCCGAAAAATGATACTGTTATTGGTGATTTATAATCTCTACGAAAGGAATTTATGATCATTCAAAAGTCTACGTAGTAGTTATGTTCGTAATTCGTAGGATTCTACGAATGGAATTCGTGATAGAGCTGATTAGTTTTTTCGGAACCCCCCTATAATGAAATCCCAAAATTACATTATGAGAGGGATTACTGTAAAGAAAAAAATAGTCATTCATATATATAGCAAAACTTCATTATTTTAAAATAATTCTTAAATTAATAAAAATTTTCAATTAAAATACCTTTTACCCCATTCACAACTTATTGTATTCCATATAAGTATTTAGAATTTCTGGAATTTCTTCATATATTATATTAATAATATGTATTCTGTTTAAATGTAATTTTTAATCAAAACCCTTTGTAATCCAAATCCATACTAGTAATGCCTCTTTCATTGACATAAATTAAATTCCAATTTCAATTTCGGCATACCATTAAAAATATTGTTGTCATTCAAGAAACCAGGAATTTTTTAAAATACAATTTACAAACTCTTACTACTTATAAATTTTAAATAATTTGTAATATTAATTCTATGTACTCCAGTTGATTCTGTTATTCCGAAATAATTTGTAGCTCACTTCATAATATTATTATGGCAATTGTACTTAAACGAAAAAATTATTATTTTAACATTTTTTTTTTGTCAATTCAATCAACTTAATAACAATTTATTCTAAAAATAATTAATTATTTCTTTATTAACAAATAATAAAACGAAATTTTTAAAACGAATAACAATTATTTTATTATTTAATTGTTATATTTTTTTTTTAATTAAATTTTTATTAAAAATAAAAATTATAAAAATTATTTTCCTAATTTTTCCTAATTTATATGAAAACAAATAAAATTTATTTATGTTTGTATGTAAATAATATTATGATGTTTTTTAATTAATTTATTCCGTTATCCCAACTAAACTTAATCTGTTACATTGTAGATTTTGAAATTAGTTATGATTATGGAAACCGAAAATATTATTAATATTCAAAATTATTGTTAATAAAAAATTAATTAATTTGAATTAATTCAATTTAAACAAATTGGTAAATATTTTAAAATACAAAATTGTAAAATAGATTTGATTATATTTTAGGTTATTTTTTTTCTTCAATTCGCCATTTTATATTCTATATATTGTATGAATAAATGCATATATCAAATATATATTAATATTATTAATAATGCATTTTTAAAAAAATATATTTTAATATTTAAATAAAGATATAAAAATTATAATTTATATTTTATTATATGTAAAAAAAAAACTTAAAATTATGTAACATAAAATTAATTAATAATTCTAATAATTAATTAATAATATTTTTAAATGAGTCATGAGCTTATATTTTATTTTCATTTCATTTATAACTAATATAAAATGTTTAAAAAATTTATGTAAATTTTGAAAGAATTTTTTGAATTGATTTTTGTCCTACAATTTCATATTAATTTTTTACTTTTAATATTAAACTTCTTCTTGAGAATAATTTTATTTTGAACTGTAATGGAAGAACAATTTTTTCACGTAAATTTTAAGTTTAATTTGAAATTTTTTATTTTTAAATATTTTTATTAAAAAACTTAAATTTATAATATTAAATTTTATCAGAATACATTTTATATGTACATAAATAATTTTCAAATTAAATATTTTTAATTATATTTCAAATTTAATAAAAAAATTTTTATTGTTAATTTGTAGACGGAAAACAATATTTCAAATTTAAAATATCAAAATTATTTTAATTTTATTTTAAAAACTATACAAATTAATTAAGTTTAATTTATAAATTTTATATTAATTTTTTTAAATAATTCAAAAATCACAAGTTTAAAAAGTAATTTTCAAATTTCTTCTGATTCTGTACACCTAAAATATTAAAAATTTAATTATAATTTTAATTATAAAAAATTATTATTATTTATAATAAACATTATTTGTTTTTACATTTAAAAAAATTAGAAAATAAAACATTTTTAATAAATTAGAGAACTCTAGCCCCCCCCCCCCCTGAATTGGAGACATGAAATTGAAAGAAAGCAAAAAATTCAAAATTAAATGAAATAAAAAATAATGTCAACTGTCTTCCAGACAAATTGTAAAATATTAAATAAATAAACAAACAAACAAAAAAAAAATACAATATTACAAAAATTTATAAAATTTCCAAATCAAAAATAAATTATAAATTAAAAAATATAATAAGAAATATTCCTAAAATGAAGCGAAACAATATTCGCAACAAAATAAAATATTATTTTATAAAATATGGTGAGAGCTCTATAATTCGAAGTCGCACGGAAACGCTGAAACAGTTCGAGTTATGAAGATTTCGAGTTGAGAAGACAAAAAAAAAGTTATGCCAATGTTCAAGGGAACTCAGATGGGTTTTGAGGTAAGGAGATTTTCGAGTTGTAGAGGTTCGAGTTCTAGAGGCTCCATTGTAATTTATAAGCTAATATTTTATTAAAAAAATAAGAATTTAAATATTCAAGTAAAAAAAAACAAAAATCTTGTAATAAAAATCTCAAAATAATAAACAAAAATACAAAATAATTTAACATAAAATATAAAAAAAAAAATTATGTTAGGAAAAACAATAAAAAATAAATATTTGTTAAAATTATAAAATTTAATTTAAACAAATAAAAATAATAAATTTTTTCTACATTTTTTGAGAAAGACTATATATATATATATAAATAAATAAAAACAAAATTAATATATTATTAATATTATTATATAAATACTAAAAAAAAAAAAACAAATAAATTAAAAAAAAATCGATTATTAAAATGAACAAAAAAATATTAGATTTGTAGTTTTTTACACTTAAGTAAGAATTAATAAAACTAAAAAATAAGAGAAAAAAGAAAAAAAATAAAAATTGTATTGATATTAAATTATTTCTTTAAAAAAAAAAACAAACAAAAAACAAAATTTATATTATCGCAACAATAAAAAATTATTAAAAACTAAATTTAATTTTTCTTAAAATAAGTAGCAGTCACAAATTAAGGAGATTTTCGATAGTTCAGATTTGCACTTAAATATTCTAATTATATTCTAATAAATTATATTCTAATAAATCGCAGATTCTAACTGGAATCTTAACAATCTTTTTATGCGTCATGAACTAACTAGTTTACTGTTCTTACTTTTCCGAATTTTTAAATTCGCTTAAGTGTTTTTTTTTTTTTTAAACTTAAAATATTTGTACATTATTTGATTGCAAGATTTTGTAATTTTGATTTATCGAACATTGAAACTAAGTTAGAATTAAATTTTCGGAAAGTTATGTTATGAATACTCATTGGAAATATTGATTTGTTAATCTTTATTATTATTTTCATGAGGAAGGCGGAATTTCATGAACAAACTTAAGGTAAAAATGAAATTATACGAAAAATGAAAGAAATAAAATTATGCGTGTTTCGCCACTAAACATCTTTTTGCGGATTTAAAATTATTTTCTATTTTAAAATTTCAAAAAACTATACGTAACTCCGCCACTCATCTGGATCACTTTTTTTTTGCAATTGAAATAAAAAAAACACATATTTTCTTCTAATTATTGCAATGTAATTATGA